AATCCTAGCCTCACTCCAGCCACTTCCATGCCCAGGCCCCGGGCTCCGCAGTCACTCTGGGTCACGCTTCACAGAGTAAATGTCACCCCTCCCTCCTTGGCTGGGGTGGGGTCTGCAGACAGGTCTTCTTTCCACAGACTCTCATGTTCCCCTAGAGAGCAGGTCAACTCTCGCACCTGAAAGTGCTCACCTGGCTATGAAGTACGTGGGGATAACGCTAGGGAGGGGTCCAGGGCCCTGGTCCGGCCTGGGTGTGGCCGTGGAACATGTTGGACTCAGGGCATCTGTCCAGCATGTGCTGAGTGATTGTGTCTGTGGAAATCAGAGCTGAACAGGTGAGGATGAGTGGGAGACTCAAGTGAGGTCACCAAGACTGACCTGTGATGCCCTTGCAGCCCTGACCCCAGCCTCCAGTCCCAGAGCTCCACGGGCACCTTGGGTCCTCCCGTTACCTCCCAGCGGGCACCTGGCCCAGCTCAACCAGCCCTGATCCCAGGCCATACCCTGGGTAAGGTTCATGCCCCCAGGACTGCCATGTGGGCAGCCTTTCCTGTAGGCTGGGGAGAGATGGGACGATTGTGTTTCCCTTCTGGTCCCTTCTGGTCCCTTCTTTGCTCACGCCTCCCACACCTCCCACAATGTAAAGGTCCTACTAAGTGCCAGCGCTCCTGTCAGGATAGGGTCACAGCAGGGAACCACCCAGCCACTGTCCTGCTCTGGTGGAAGTTGGGTTCTACCAGGTGGATTCACACAGTGAACAGATCAGCACAGAGGCCGACAGACAAATACAGCAAAGTCTGATGACTGCTGGGAAGAGGTATTTGTGTCTTGGGTTTGGGTAGCATGTGGGTGGGTGTTGGAGTCTCTATTTCATTGACAATGATCAGAAGAGGGTTTGTGGATTAGAGGACATGAGCATGGAGACCTGCAGGGTTTGGGAGCAGGGCACTCTGGGGTCTGGAGGAAGAGGGGTCCTCCCTCCCTGGCGGAGGGAGGAGCGAGGCAAATGTCCTACAAGGGAGTCTTGGGATCCGGCCAGGCCAGGGCAGGGGGCAGAAGCTCTGGGGTCCGGTGACCCTGGCCCTCTCCTCTGCCTCCCTTGCAGCCCTGGCTAGAGTCTTATCCTATTTGATGAGCCCAATCCTCTGAGGAACTGAGAGCTGAGCTGACAACAACCATGAATTTTACAGGCTGATGTTTGCAACCAGAGGGCAGGTGCCAGTTACTTGTGAATAACATGAATAGTCCTGACCTTCCTGGGAAATGATGGCCATACGGACATCAAACTACATGACTGATTCCATGCGCCAGTGAATAATCCTAGGATGTAGAGATCTTGTGGGCGTGGTTCTCACCTGATCCCTCCCTGTTCCCATGCACCATTCTCCTGGCCATGTGCTTCCTTATAGGCAGTCCTGAGACTCCAGGGACTCTCCAGCTGAAGGTCAGGGACTAACGGTTCCTTTAGAGGAGTTGTCATTTACAGAGCTTGTCCTTACAGGAGTCTGTGCGGCCACAGGACCTGGGTTCACAGACAGGCAGAAGGTGGAGGGCACCTGGGCCTCCCCTGGAGAGGTGACTCACTACCCTTCCCCATGTCCCCGCAGCTCCCTGTTCAGCAGCCCCTATGTCCTGCTCCTGGTCCTCCTGGAGCTGCCCCTGCTCCTGAGCATGCTGGGTGCCATCCTCTGGGTGAACAGACCTCAGAGAAGCTCTAGAAGCAGGCAGAGTTGGCCCGAGGGTGAGAACCAGTAGCATCTGCTGTCCATCAAGGCCCTGCACTGCGACAGAGCCCCGCTGCGGGACTGGAATGACCTCCTGACCGCTCCCTCCCGGGCTGCCCTCCCCACATCTCCCGGAATCCTCTGTGAGCCTCCTTCAGCCTTTTCCCTGTGCCCGATCCTCATGTGTCACACATGAACCTGATGGACACGGACACCCTGAGCTCCATGTCTCACGTGCATGCTCTGGACAGCTAAGCCTCAGGCGGTCAGCAACGCCTCTGAGTGCCTGACGCCCTCCCTGCACCCTTCCATTTCTCCAGGTGCCTGGCATTGCTTCCGCCACTGTTTTTACAGGGAGAGGCAGGGAGAGGCAGGTCCAGGACTCCCCTGCACCTTTGCCACCATAATGGCCCACACTCCCCGGGTCCAGGAGTGCAGAATATGTGGCTGCTTCCATTTGCTGAGTGTGTCGATTCCATGATGCTTTTGAACTTTAAGAAATGACAATACATGGATTCTGGACCTATCATGCCCACTAAGTCAGGCCTGGGTGAACACTCCATTGTTCCCTGGTCTCCATAGGCCTTTGCTCAGAATAGTGGACCAAGCCGCATTCTGGGCTTCTCGGGATTGGGGTCCCTGCAGAAGAGGATCCAGACTCCCCCCAAAACCTGACAATTCCCTTCCTTATGTGGGCACATCCTGGCCAGTGTCTTCTGGTCCCTCTGGGAGGGCTGGTAGGAGATTCTCAGTGTGAATCGTGGCATGGTAGCCAGACCCTTTCTTCCTCCTTCCTCAAGGGGACCTGACCTCCCCTTCATTCCAGGGCTGTGGCTTTTAACTGACTCAAGTATGGAAATGGATTGAGGGCCGTGACTCCTTGATGGGGTAGTTAACTGAGTCTTTGCTCACTAGTGTAGACCATGTCTGCTTATACAGACAAAGGAAGACGTCATCAGCCGACCATCGTTTAGGTTCCAGGGATGCCACACCCAAGACCCCTATGAGGCAGCTGGTTCCCACGAGTCCTCCTGGTCAAGGAGGGCCACGCCGAGGAGTCCTCACCTACTTTTCCATTCAGCAGATACTTATGGGAGCTTCTGGTGTATCAGACACTGACCTGGCATTGGAGTCCAGCTGTGAACACCAGGCGAGGAGCTCTGTTTACATTGAGCCCATATTCCAGGTGGAGGATAGAAAAGATAAACAAATGCACAAATACATGAATAAGTTCCAGAAGAAAAATATAAGAGTCAGAGATGAAAGGAGTCACAGAATAAAATAAGAGAAGTGGGGTGAGTGCGTGCAGGAGCTGAGGGGTCTGTTATGAAGCCCCTCTAATAGGCGATGAGCAAGCAGGGATCAGGAGAAAGGAGGGGTGAGTGCCAGGGTCCCTGGAAGAGGACTCTCTTTTAGGGGTGACTCCCTGAGGCAGAGAGAGGAGTAGGTGCACATGTCCTGCCAGGGGCAGACGCCTCCCTGGGTCAAGTGGCTCCAGGACCTCCAGACAGCATTTCCTGTCTCCTCCCCAGCCTAGGCAGGAAATGGTGCACCAACTTTGGATGACTAAGTCCTCTGAGGCAGTGGGACATCAGGACACCATGCCTCCATTCACCCATTCATCCTTTCAACAGCCAGTTTATTAAATTGCATTTGGCAGACCCTGGAATAATAGTGGGCGCAGCGGTAAATGAGACAAGGGGCTGCCCCTGCTCTCAAGGGGTGGCCGGTCTAGATGGGAGCAGACAGAAGGACTGAGGAAGACAAGAGGGAAGTGTGAAATGGGTCATGAGGACCCCTAAAAAGGGAGCCACCATAACCGAGGAAGGTCAAGGAACACGCAGGCAAATCTGTCAGCTGGAGCCAGGCAGAGGAGTGGGAGGTTTAGGGTCTGGACAAAGGTCCGAGTCGGGAGGGCGGCGGCACCACGGTGAACCGGGATCCAGGAAGCTGGAGACACCTACCAGGCGCTGGGGGCTGCCAGGACCTGTGTGCCGAGGTCAGGTCAGGTGGGTGCCATCCTGTGACAGTAGGAGCCATTGGGAGTTGAGCAGCGCCTCCCCAGGGCCACGTGTGTGTGTGTGTGTGTCAGGGATCACACTGCTGATTCTGGGGAGAACGGAAGGGCTGGGCATGAGCAGAAGGGGAGACCAGGTCAGCCCATGGCAGAGCCAGGATACTTCAAAGCCAGGCCCACGCCAGATCTGAACACTGGGCGAATTGGAAGCCCTGGGATTGCACTGGGCTGATGATAGTCCCATGATGTGAGTCTGGGGGCATCAGCACCAATGACCCCAGTGCACACTGTGTCCCTGAGAGTGTAATTGGAGGGAGGACAGAGCAGGTCGAGGGTTCAGGGACCCCTTCATAGTGCCAGGTACACCCAGACTCCCCTGTCACTCTCCACTCAGCCTTATGGCTGTGTGCACATACTGGTGCTATTGACTCCGATAGGAAGAAAGGAACGGAAATCTGTAGGAGGGTTGGGAGAGTCAAGGAATATGCTTAAAGCATGAGAAGGTGTAGAAGGGGTGATGCCCTCCAGGACAAACAGGAGGCAAACTCTGCACCTGACCTGCCTTCCTGCCCTTTCCAGGGTAGACACCCTAAGTCCATCATGTCAGGAGAACCAGCCATGCTGAGTGTGGACAGACCTGGGTCTCCGCCTCCTGGGAAGGCCTGTCCCCCATGTCTGCTCCCTGGGGAGGCCCCTGGCCATCACAGTAGACCCAGGATAGACACCAGCCACCGCTGCTCATGACAAGCTGTCCTCTCAGTCACCAAACCACCCTCTGTGTGCCCTGGGGTGTGTGCTGGCTCAGTCGCAGCCTCATATTGACCACAAAGTCCCACTTCAGCATCTTCACGCGTCTGAACTCTCTGTCTCTCTCTTCTCAGTTCTCTGCCCTGATTCTCACTGGGGCATGGATTTCGGCAAGAAGACAAGATGGAAAAGGAGGGTCTCGGGTGGGTGATGCCGCTCTGTGTCTAGGTCTGGGGGCAGGGGCACAAGAAGAAAACTCCCCAGGCCTGTGGGATTTTAACCTGCTTGGGGACTCAGCACCAAAAAGGGACATGCAGATGCTGTCTGGGTTCATAGTGCTAACTTCTGAGGCCAGAAGAAGAGCTGGGGGTCTTAGGGGCAGAGCTCTCGGCGGGGACCTAGCTGAAGATTAAGGGACACAGCCTCTCTCTGGTCACCTCCAAGGCTAAAGAAGATGGCAGATTTAGCTTCCAACCACAAGATTGTCCATCCTGACCAGGAAGTGACGTGTCACGGAGGGTGGAGCAGCCCCTGTGGTAGGAAATGGCCTGGCTTGGCTCTGCCTTCTGCCGTGTGAGTAACACACTGAAGCCAGAAGCTGTGGGCTGTGGGGAAGTGGCTGCATTTCCATCCAAGGGACCCTGAACTTTGCCAGACTTCGGGGTTGAGAGAAGCCACTAGCAGCATCCCAGAGCTGTCAGCACCGGCCTCAGCCCAGGCGGCTCTCTCCCTGAGCTTCCTGCACCCTGACCCTCTCCAGCCTCAGACCTGAGACAGGGCTGGACAAGGAAGCAGAGAGCAGAAGAAAAGCAGAAGCAAAGCTCAGATCTGCTGGGAGGAGGCTCCATTTTGTCTCCTCCTGGGGTCTTGCACAGTGGCAGGTGACATTCGTGTTACAGGAATGACTGCCAGGGCCTGGGCCTCGTGGCGGCCTTCAGCTCTGCTCCTCCTGCTTGTCCCAGGTGAGTGGGCCAGCCCTGGACTCGGGGAGCTCTGTCCTGAGTGGGAGAGGGCAGGGCGGGCTGCAGGCAGTGGAGTAGCGGTCACAGAGGGGAGCAGGGGTGGGGAGAGGGGAGGAGGGCAGAGGAGCATCCAAGAGCGGTCAGCAGCTGCCTCCCCAGGGGACAGCAGGCCGCAGGGCACAGCGCAGGGGAAGCCTGTTTCTCTGTGCCCGAGACAGGAAGCCCTGGTGGGAGGTGATGCTGTGACTGTCATTGCCAAAGTTATCAAATCACACATTTTATCCGGGATGATCACACATGCAGTCGCACTCACACACACAGTCACACACACACAGTCACACACACAGCCACACTCACATGCACACA